AAGATGTTTACTTGTGTTTTATTGACTATGCAAAGGCATTCGATTGTGTGGATCATAACAAATTATGGATAACATTGAGAAGAATGGGAATTCCACAACACTTAATTGTGCTCATGAGGAACTTGTACATAGAGCAGGAGGATGTTGTTTGAACAGAACAAGGGGACACTGCATGGTTTAAAAAGGGAGTGTGTCAGGGTTGTATCTTTTCACCATACTTATTCAATCTGTATGCTGAACAAAAAATCCAAAAAGCTGGACTATATGAAGAGGAACATGGCATCAGGATCAGAGGAAGACTCATTAACAACCTGTGTTATGCAGATGATACAACTTTGCTTACTGAAAGTGAGGATGACCTGAAATACTTACTGATGAAGATTGAGGAATAAAGTCTGCAGTATGGATTACACCTGAATATAAAGAAAACAAAACTCCTCACAACAGGACCAATAAGCAGCATCATGATAAATGGAGAAAAGATTGAAGTTGTAAAAGACTTCATATTACTTTGTTCTATAATCAACACCAATGGAAGCAGCAGCCAAGACATCAGATGTCGTATGTTGTTGTTGTTGTTATGTGCCATCGAGTTGGACCCGACTCATAGTGACCCCTCCTTGGGTTTCCGAGGTGGTATCACTATAGAAGTAGATTGTCCAACCTTCCTTCCGAGGAGTCATATAGCATTGGGCAAACTGGCTGCAAAGGACCTCTTTCAAGTGCTGAAGAGCAAAGATGTCTCCTTAAAGACTAAAGTGCGCTTGACACACCATGGTATTTTCATTCACTTCATATGCATGTGAGAGGTAGACAATGAAAAAGGAAGACCGAAGAAGAGTCAATGCTTTTGAGTTGTGGTGCTGGTGAAGAATGCTGAAAGTACCATGGAGTGCTAAAAGAACTAACAAATCTGTCCTGGAAGAAGTGCAGTCAGAATGCTCCTTGGAAGCAAGAATGGCCAGACTTCGTCTCACCTACTTTGGTCATATTGTCATAAGGGACCATTCCCTGGAGAAGGATATCATGCTTGGCAAAGTGGAGGGACAATGAGAAAGGGGAAGGCCCTCAATGAGATGGATTGACACAGTGGCTGCAATGATGGGCTCAGGTATAGCAAGGATCGTGGTGCTGGCACAGGAACGGGCAATGTTTCGTTCTGCTGTACATGAGCATGAAGTTACTATGAGTCAGAGATGACTTGATGGCACGTAACAACAACATTGAGTTTATGCTAATGGTGGTGGAATATTTTGGAAAAGGATAGCAATAATGGTGGTACAACATGAAAAATGTCATCAAAGTCCCTTAGCTATAAATGTGCAAGTTGATATGTTGGCAAATGTCTTGTTGTGTACGTTTTCAATAAAACGTTACAATAAAAATGAAAAAACAAAACAAAAAAACCCAAAAACGAGTGTGCCTGGGAATCACATGGGGTCTGCTTCTCTAACACAGGAATGTGAACTCTGCTATGTGCCAAGTGCTTTTGGGAACTTTTGGTCTCAAATTATGCTGTTACTAGATTCCAGCTTCTTTTTATATAAATGCTTGCCTGTCAAACAGTATTGGGATTGATAAGGACAGTGGCTTTTTAGGATCCTTTCCACAAAAGTAAATATTCCCTGGCTATTTTACATGAACTCAGAAGAAAATGCCTGCCACCTGTATGTAATCTGTTCCTTGTGCAATGGAGAAATCCCTTAAAAATAAACCTAAACCTCAAACATATTGCTCAGGTGTGCACAGCCCAGAAGTAATAATCCATATTATATACATTATATAATATAATATGGGAGCCCTGGTAGCATAGTGCCTAAGGCACTTGACTGCTAACCAGAAGGCTGGTAGTTCAAACCC